GTGGATCAGTTCGATCAAAATCCATTAAAAACCCACAAACTCGTTATCGGAATTCACTTCGTGAGATTCAGGTTTGAGTGCTATTTCCCGATCCAGTGGTACGGTAGGTGTTTGACAATTTCTATCAAATACCTACGTGTGCGTGCACATTGAACTGCATTCCGTCAGTCTTCCCCACCAGTAAGGGGATAGGGTCTTTTCTGTCCATCCATTTTATCATTATATATATTGTATGTGTTGAACGGTAGGTAAGCCACGGCAAATATTACTGCCGCCTATCGTGATGTGTTTGTAAATCCTCGACGAATCAAATGTCACGTGAGGGTCCTACAAGGGAAATCTAAAGTGCGCTGCTCCTATAGGTTAAAATCTCAAATGTAACACAAACGGTACATTGTACAATCCCTGATATAAATCAAAAAGTAACACAATAAAAAGTATATGTTAACCGTTCCATATGTCCACTTAACGTGAACTCCGACTAAAAAAGTGGAGGCATTAACAGTCCGAGGATGATAAATACTTAACAAAAATACCTATTACAATCATCAGCTTATTATCGGTGCAGCATTTGCCACAATTACGACAGTCCAAAGTCCAACATAAGATCGCCACACCTTATTTCTTAACCAAGCCTCGCACCATCAGCATTTGTAGAAATTCAAATGTTTCAATATTCGTTGACCTTAGAATATCCCGATACATTTTGTCCTACTCGCCTACAGTGGCGCGACTAAAGTTTGTGCGTCGAGGCTAAAAGGTTATGGGTAGTGACTAAGGAATTGTGGTTATCGGCTTAAACATTTCAGGTCGAGGTTAAAGCATTGCGGGTTTTGTTTAAAGCTCGATGGGAGTAGTTGTAGTAAGCATTGGTCTTGGGTGGAAACTGGTGTTTTTAGTGCTACGGAATAAAGGGTTGGGTGTTTGGTTATTACTATGTGCAATGACAATATGTTATGTCTAATGATATAAAACGATAAATATTAGTGTTGTTAAAATCCCTAATGTTTGTGTAAGCGAACATATAAATGCGGGGTAATGAAAGTTATAGATGAGTCAACGAATGACATGCGGTGTACAGGAGGGTGTTGTGTATTTAGTTAAAATTGTGTTAGTAAGAAGGGAAAATCTTGGATGACATTGCATGTTTAGGAAATCAATGTATTTCGAGCAGCATAGAACAAACATGGGACTTGCCAACGTAGGAACCGTTGACGTATGTTATAATACTTCCTCTAATCCTTCCCTCTGGTTCCAAGTATCTGTCGGTGAACTTGAAAATTGTCCATTGATACATTCAGTTTATATTCTTTTAATTAAACTGCTCAGGTGTTCATATAAATTCTTGTACCGAGAACACTAGTTAGTCCGAAATTTTTGAAAACAGTGACTGAATGCTAGTGTTGACCAATGGGAGAACGGTCATCATGACCAGAAGGATGCAACTAAGAGTCACTTAACTTGATTTCACTTCACTGACCTAAAACTTGTCAGCCTGTGTGCTTGCGTTTTTCTGGTCTAAACTGGACAGTGAGAAATTGGAGTCACGCAAGCCGATGAACTATCAAATATATTCTTGCATGTTTGAGACAAATGATATGATCCCGTGTGTAGCGTCAACGCACGATATTGATTGAAAATGTACAAATTCCAAGTGTGATGTTTAGCGCAGCCAATCGAGGGACCCGTTCGATACATACATGAGTAATCACAACAGATTCACGCCAAAAATAAATGAAAACGAAAAACTCGCATTTCGGACTTACACGTCCCAAAATGTTTTAGGTTTATCAAGTGTTTGTATTGAGATTGGAAATATTCTGAACTGAATTCATTTGGGTGATCCCAGATCCTTTCACCTACGGAACTGAAAATATTTTTCAGCGTTTGCTTAATTCTATTTCACAATGCTCCCTCATTGTTTGTGTAGACTAGTGGTAGGATAAACAAACTGATTGTGGTGGGTGAATGTTACCCCGCTGAGTTGTTGGCAGCCTTTTGGGCTATGTCACAAATTAAACTCAAGTGGTGTTGCATTCCGTTCCTATATCATTCCTGGTAATATATAGCTCTTTTTTTAGGCTTCCACATCCTCTATAGTAACGTGACTCGGTGATTTTATAGTGCTAAATTCACAAAACTTGATTTAATGGAGATCAGTTGCGTGCATATTTTCCATCAATGTGACCTGAGGCCTATTCGTTTTGACTGCTCTTCGATACCATTCTCGGAAACGAACGCATACAACCACTCGATTTAGCCTATGATTAAAACCCAAATGTACGAATGGAATTTTTCGCTTCCGATCACCAAAAATAACTGACATCATTTTAGCTTTTGTTGTGGATTGTGAATAGTTCATTGACTGCGAAGTAGAAATAGTAGAGACTAGATGGCAGTGGTACAATTGATGCATAAGAAAATTAGTTGAATATGAACTGTAAACAAATATGCAAACACAAATTTCTGTGGCACTTAGATATGCCTGCCGCCATGTTTATGCACGGGTCGGGTGAGTCGTAAAGCACGTGACTAAGAATCAAATACAGCGTGCGAGTCCTGTTCATCCAATCTCTAATGTTTCACTACATGTCCATTTCGCATGATACACTAGTTTCCTTCGTTTTACCTTCAATAGACACCCTTCGCAGCTGGACCGAATATCCGAAACACTATTCACATAAAAAGAATTTGGTATATTCAACATAATTCTTGTTTGTTCTTTGCTGTCGTTCATTTATACGCACAGTAACAGGATGTGAAATATTACTCTAGATTGTAGTTGATATAGCTATTCAGGTAAAAGTAGCATACTAGAGGCGAGTTAATTAAGCTTATATAAAGCTCTGTATCAACCCCATTCAACCAATTATTATTTTTCTCTACAAAATTACATCTCTATGAGGCACGTGCAATATCTTCATACTAGACCTACAGTATTTTCTGTTCACTTTCTTGTCTCTTACTCGCTCATCGACTCTCTCTCACCCCTCTCTCGACTGGTTCATTCCCAGACCAAGGACGAACAAGGTGGGATTCGCACCAATGCTACGGTTTGTTTGGCTAAATTGGCCTCTCTTTTCTCTACACAAGTGCAGCAGGGAGTGATGTTGAGTGCGTTCTTGCGTGTCACTCGAGACCCGTTCACTCCGACTAGGCGTGCTGCGGTCGCAGCCTTAGCTGCAACTCAGGTGAGTCTCGAACTGTGTGCAAACTTGGTGCATGATTTTTCCGGGTCTAATCACAGACTAAATTTGTTTGAAACGGAAATTAGTACTTTCTCACACAGTCGTGAATCATTCATCTTTTGACTTTCGGGGCAGCTCGCTTCTTGGCGAAATTAAAGTACAATGAAATCTCTTCTATTTTTCTGGTTTCGAATAACAGGGATCTTTGGGCCCGAGCTTTCATGAAAGTTTGAAATAGTTGTTGAAATGCGATGGAAATGTTTAAGATAACCAAATAGCGCTGGTTAGCTGTTTCGTCCTGTTTGGGACTCGCCAGCAGTGCGTACTTTTTGTTTCCCTGTCAGGACTCGAACCGCGCTCAGTCGGGTCGGGACTTCAAACCCTTTCTCTTGAGCTACACGGCCGAGGGTCATCACCTTGTGCGAATGGCTCAATCAATTTAGAGTACCAAGCTTGGATTAGCCCATTCGATTGTTCAGAGGCAC